TTATGAAATCGAGCAGCAAACTCGGGAGAGAGGATGTCGCATTCGAATAACCTAGGGTCAGGTGGGAGATCGAAATCGTCTAACTTGTGTGCCATGGCAAGGATATCAACGAGTTGACGTTCCTGTTGCTCGCCAGATGGCATTGTTATGACACCAAGGGCCCTCGGTCGAGCTTCTCCGCCATTCTCAAGCCAAGCTTCGTGTGCTTGCTTGGAGCTGGCCATGGCACGTAGGAAATTATAAACCAATTCTGCCCGGCGCGCAACATTCTTGGTGGTAGCGAGGGCCTGGGATACGCCCGAGTCGTGCAACATTGCTTCTACACTGTTTTTCACGTCCAGTAACCAAGCTCGTACTTCAGCCGCATTGTCCCAGTCAGCAGGAATGAGCCCGGTGTGCAGCCAAGCAGCAATAGTCTGTATGGTAGTCTCGATGATGATCCTGACCAAGAAATCCACATTCCAGCAGGGACAAGCAAGGATTTGGTCGTATTTGAGTCAACCAGGATCTCCCCTGGCAACGTGCAAAGATATATGATTTGGCTCTCGGCCTGTACGGACCAAACTGATGAGTCCTAATATGGTGTTAAACTGGCCTTTGCAAAATCGTTGGTTAGAGGTGTGTGTTGGGAAATGATAAAGCAAGTCGAGGGTGTTGCCGTTCATGAATTGGTCTGCCTCTTCTTCGGATAGAAAGTTCCAACACTCCATCAGATCGTGAGATCGTAGTGTGGCAGTGACTGGGCTAGATTGAGTTACAGTGACCAAGGGACAGAGCACACCAAGCAAGCGACTCAGAAACAGTACGTGCAACCAATATAACAGGTGCGAGAGCGTAATTCTCCAAAAGTCGAGAAACGGGCCCATGTAGCGCGCAACGATCTCGACGGATAGGTTGCCGACTGCCGGAATCTCGGGGTGCAGTATTCGGCGGAGGTGTCGGTCTTCTTTGGGGCCAAGCCCGACTGTTGCATCCCAATAACCACCACAACATCCCAGGATCCCCTCCTCGGGAATATCCTTGGTGAGTTCCACCAACACGACCCTGCCCTTCAATCTCCTGACAACATCGGCCACTTTGCCTTTGACTTGGCGCAAAGCTGCTGGCATTATTTGGACATGATGCAACGGGCCAAAGAAGTCCACTTCGGCATCCAGCAGCTTGCATATCTGCTTCGCCAAAACATGGTCTCTCTCTTCTCCAAGAGGATAAGGGTCCTGCGGCTGAATGGAGCGGATATGGTTGAGCAGCTCGAGATGTTGCGAGGACGGGAGGAGGAGTGGTTGAAGGCCGCCGTGCGCGGAGTTCATGGCCATGGCACCACCACACGCGCGCACAATCCGCTCGAGATGGCTGACGGTGGGAGAAGTGCGGACATGCAGAGGATTGTCGAAAGGGGTGTCTATGTCGACGAGATGGTATGTCTCGCAGACCCAGTCCTGCTCAATGGACAGATAATTGACGATCCTGACATGGGACCCCGCCTCTACATCATCGAAGCATCTATCGGCAGGCGCGACAGTCCCCGTGATCCCGGCGTAGAACACTGACGATTTCGGATTTGCTGCGTGGGTGTGTAATAACCCAGCGGTGCACGGGTGGTCAATCACAGCATCCATGAAAGTCCCCACGGCTTCGTTGAGACCGAAGCTCTCCATTGCCTTGCCAAAGGTCGACCGAATACGGGTTGGCGTCTCCCCTTGCATCAACAACTGCAGGGTGGTGTTTCCAGCGTCTGCCGGGAACGAGCACAGATAAGTAGTAAGGTCCTGTATCGGAGTGGGGGTGGGGATTTTTCGAACATAATTGACGCAGGCGCCTTGCGTAGGTTTGTCACCCCTCTTGCTCAGGACCAAGGTCCCGTTCTCGACGAAAGGTTGTGGATCCCAAGTGGTAGGCTCTTTTGTGATCGCGAGTAGGAGATGACAAGTGCGGGGGGAGATACAGTCCCATGCGGGAGCAGTTGCGGGGATGGGGGTATGACCTTCGGCATCGCAGTAGGCCGACACGATAGCCTTGAGATGGGACGAGGGGTCTGCGTGATCACCTTTGATGGCGTCTTGTATCGCGCGCTCCCGCTTTGCCACCCGCGCGTACTCTTTGGCCCACACCGCCGCGACCATCGGGCCGCGCTCCTGCCCGCTGTCCATCCGTTGCTGCTGTGCCTCCTCGGGATGCTCCAGTGCCCGTCGATGACGGGCCGCCCGACGCTCGGCATTCTTCTTGTCGCGAGCACTAAGCTAGCAGCAAGTCAACTAAAAGTCATCACGTTGAGAGAATGGCTCTACCTCAGAGAGTTCCGCGTCCTCGCCGTCGAAGCGGATCATATCTTCCAGATCCTGGATCCAAGGTCAGTCCAAGAGAATCAGAAACGTGCTGGATATATGCACGCACTTGAGCCTTTTGCTTGCCCTTATTTTTGGATTGTGTGTGCGGACCCACTACTCCATGCTGCACCTCTATCGGCTCCATCTTCTGGCGAGTCGCGGCTCCTTGCCCACGACGGGCCTATTCGGAAAAAGAAGGCAGTTGAGCAACGACAAAAAAGAAAACAGCACATGGATTTGGCAACTGGACGCGCCAGCGGGTGTGCCAATGTAGGGAGGGAGTATACACGAACCTTGCCCTTGCTGTGGTCGACGAGCTCTTCCTCCTGGATGCCAAGTCAAAAGAATGAACATTTGCAAAATGACGGAATACACACCGATATCATGCCGTCATTGACGAAATCGATATCGTCCTCCTCTCCGCGAGGGTGATACTCGTCCTTTACACCAGGGATTAAAACAGAACGGAAAATATCATAATATGATGTTCACCTGGATGCACAGCCGGCTCGTACCAGCCTTGTACGCCTCAGTTCGAGTAAAGAAAAGAAGACTGTACTAATCTTACCACGTACTCGTCCTCCGTGTCCGGCAAGAAATCCTCTATTAATTAGAATTTTTGGTAAAGAAATACGGTAAAGAAAAGAAAGTACGCACGGCCATATAAGGCTTCCACCATCTCTTCGTCATCGTCAGTCACCACCTTGTGTTTTAAAGCTTCAATCCTGATCCACCCGACAAGGCATTTGAGCTCACCTCCAAATTCTCCATGTGTGGGAGGTTGAAAGCGGCGTCGAAAAGTTCAGCATCTTCATTCTTATCCTCATGGAGCCGCGGGACTTTGGGGAAGCGGGGCTGGTAAGGAGCATGAGGAGAAAACTTGCCCGCAGGGCAAAAGGTCTCACCAGCTCCCGGGTAGAGATCTTGCTTTCCTGAAGAATAGTCAGTGGACGAGGTCGAGTGACGAAAGAATGTATCTTACAGTCCTTTTGAACGGAGCTTTTGTTGAAGAGGCCATAATGTGCGACGATGAGGAAGGAAATCGATGCACGCGTCACAGAACGAGACTGGCACCGGCGAGCATTCAGGTCCATCATGTAGAGAGGCCTGCCGAGAGCGCGCTTTCTGTCGGAGCACCTAAATAATGCTTGGCCGGCCGACAGCCGCTGAATCGGAACGAAACCAGTATATTGAGGGCCTGATCGAGACGCGTGAACCGCGGCATTTGGTTCAGAAAATGTCCCATACCGGATCCATGCGTTCACTTCCGGACAGCTGCGTAAAAACGTCGGGATACCGGCACGAGGAACGTCGACGAGACCCGAAGAAGGGTGATTGTCGATGGATTCGCATAATATTCCCGTTTGCCCACAATTCCTTTGATTAATTGCACAAAGAGGAAGCCGCTAGGGATCGCTTTGGCCGAAGTCACGATTCTGAATCCACCAAGCCAAAGACTGTTTCTTTCAGACCGGAAAACCCTCCCCAAGAAATGCAGACATGTTGTGGAGAATAATTTCACCATTGAGTAAAGTTGCGTCCATGAACAATCGACGACGTGTTGGTACATACAGGGCGGCAGACTTGCAAATAAACACAACCACACAGAGGCGGCGCGTAACACCCGAGACCCTTCCAATAAAATGCCAACCCCGGTGACCGGTCTGCCCCCTGGGACAAACGTTTGTTAAATCAAGGGAGGATGCAACCAGACTTACCTAGCTTCATTAACACTCTTCAAACGCTTGATGGTCTCGGACGTTACGTGCAGCGGCGGGCAGTCTCCAGCCGAAGTAGCTCTGTGACGCGCGAAAGTTCGCGCTGGGTTTCACGATGCTCTCGCTGCTCTAGAGCGAGAAGACTTGATAGATCCCGAATTGAATACTTGGATCGATGAGAGTGGCGACGGGAGGATTCTGCAACTGGAGGTTCGGGGGCAGGTATGGGAAGGGGAGGCAGATCGCGACCGTCGGCCATTGTCTAGTTTCGCGATTCCGATGGCCACGAAATGTGTACAGCCTCAATTGGGTCACAGTCGAAGACACCCAGCCAGACGCGAACATGATGAGACAGACAAGGTTGAAACACGTGCCCGTGATCTACAACGGAAGGAACGATCACGGGTGTCCCAAACACCAACGCACCACAGCTCAGCGCTCAGGAGTCGTCAAGATTCTAAAGAAATTGAGTTTGCGGAACAAACATAACATCGCCAAAGAGTCAACTTTCACCCTTATCAACCACCACCCCCTCCTTCCTCACATCCCTTCCCGCTCTTTCACTGTCCCACTCGAGAACGCTGACGACATTGAGTGCTCACAATGAGCGAAAGGCGACGTATACCTTATTCCTGGCTCGTTCCCTCTTGTAGGAGATCGACACACCAGCTGTACGTCGCTCATTCCCGTACCGCCCTCTGCTCACCGTTTGAGTGTCATTCTTCTGCGTATATGCATGCTTTCGCGTCCTCGACAGTGGCAAGGGGTTTCTAGGGTCTCACACGACGCCTTCCTTCAACGCAAAAGACTTCAAAGACGCTGGGCGTGCAAAAATTAAGACCATGCCAAGATTCCGTAGGACGCTGTTGCGCATGACCTCCAAAAAGCCTCGGGTTCCGATGCCTACGGCCAGACTTTGATTTCCAGTGCGATGCTCTGCAAGAACCCGTATAAAGCCGCTGTAGCACAAAGGTAGTGCATCGCTTTCCTACTTTGTGCGGTATTGAGGTTCCTTACGTAAGGCGAAGGTTGTGGGTTCGATCCCCATCAGCGGTTTTTGTTTTATTTGCAACAAAAGGGCAATCGAGTTACCTGTCGTCCTTTCTTACGTAAGGCGATTGTGGGTTCAAGAAAAAAAGGGAAATAATAAGAGAAACGTGACCAATTTATTATAGCCGAGTACCTCCACAGTGGCAGAACCCTCCCAGTCGACTCTGAAATCTTGCACGGTGGAAAATTACGAGATCATGGCCGACCATGTACCCCGCATCTTACATCCGGCACCTTGCACAGATTCAGGTTGCCAGGTCCCTCCAATGTCTTCTGAATGCACAGAGGCCTGTGTCGTCGTGGCCTGCACCGACGATGATCTCGTTTGTGAAGGTTGTCCCGGAAACCATTGCGATCTCGTTTGTGAAGATCTAAACTGCAAGGATTGCACCGGCTTTGACGAGTTTGTCCGTCCACAATCTCCGTCTAATCGCGCGCGGCTGACCTAGCCGATAGCTTCAATGCTGCACAGACTTTCACTCGTACTACGAGGAGCCCAGAAATCACCCAGAAACTGCTTGGTCCTGGGACCCCTCCTTGAAAACATTTGTTTGTTCCTGCGGAGGGGAGAGCAAGGCGGACATGAGCCCAGACCCTACCCTCTTCGACCCCCCCGATAATTTTCCTGCCCATGTGGATGCCTCAGTTTCCACGCCGGGATATTGTACACCCTCCTCGCGCGCTGTATCAGAGGCAGTCAATGCCTCTCTCACTTGCATGTGGGCCGATTGCGGCGCTTCGTTCGATCAACTCTCCGACCTCGCTGAGCACGTAAATTTAATACATCTACGCCACCCGCCGTCGCTGGCGCCCCCTGCCTCGTCTGATGCGCGCGACCCATTCTCCATGTCGTGCCAGTGGAAGGATTGCACCATATATCCCACTCCCGACTCGGTTCCGGGTCCCTCCTCAGGCGATATCGAGTCCATGCTCTTCGTTCTCTCTTCCCATCTCTTACACGACCATCTTGGACTCAATGGCCCTCCGACTCACCTCCATACTCCCCAGTCGTCCGACCTGTCGCCGGAAGAGCACCGGACAGAACAGCCCGCGGTTCTTCCGGCATCGTCAGAGGACGCAAACCAAGGGGGGCATGTCTGCCGCTGGACATCGTGCGGGCAGACCTTCAGCTCCGTAGACGAGCTCACTGTACACCTTACCAACGTCCATGTCGGCGCTGGAAAGACGTCTTATGATTGTTTCTGGCAAGACTGCTCTCGACACGACCAAAGTGGCTTCACGAGCAAGCAGAAACTATGCCGACATCTGCAGGTCAGCCCTTTACTTCTCTTATTCTTATGCCGCTCATGTTCTATAGTCACACACGGGCCACCGACCGTTCCAGTGTAAGATCTGCCTCCAGAACTTTTCCGAGGCTGCGACTCTACAGCAGCACATGCGGCGGCACACGCAGGAGAGTCAGTGCATGCTTACCGAGTACCATGGACCACCCACTGACTTCCACCGATAGAACCTTATTCGTGCGACTATCCTGGCTGTGGCAAGTCGTTTGCCATCACCGGCGCCCTCACGATCCACAAGCGGACGCACAACGGCCACAAGCCGTTCAAATGCTCCTATTGCGACAAGCAAGTCGCGACAATCGTTTATTTTGCCTACGGACTGACCCGAGACTCAGAGCCTTTTCCGAATCCTCCAACCTCTCCAAACACGTATGTGCTGTCGACTTCAGCAATATCACTGACCACACGCGTATACAGCTTCGAACCCACACAGGCGCCCGACCTTACACTTGTAGTGAACCAGACTGTAACAAGTCTTTTGCGCGTGCGGATCAGTTAACACGCCACGCGCGCGTGCACAAGAAAGTCTCCAAGTAACTTTGCCGAAAATCTGTAAATTCAGCCTGTACTCGTACATACAGTATTTATATACGCGCAAGTGGGACATACAGATCGTAAAGGACCACAAAGGTCTGTGTTAGGAAGACGGCTCCGTCAGGCGATTCGAAAATAGGTTATTAATATCAAATAGAGAACAGAAACAGAGCATATCAGTGAGGGACAACCCTGCATCGGTGGATCGTGCCACATTAGACAGCGGTCTCCTCGCCGAGGCGCGCGGTGCCGCGGACGGCACCCACACGCTCGCCGACGCTGCCGAAATACTCCTGCGCCTTGAGCGCACGCTTCTCGCCCGCCTCCGCATTGCGCACTTCCGTGTTCCGCTCCTCCATCGCGCTTCGGAAGCGCTCGCGCAGGTCCCACGACGCGAGTCGCAGCACCTTGCGCGTCTCACGCCCAATACGCACCGCGTGAGTTGCCTGCCACTGTGCCTCGCCCTCCTCCGCGGTCTCGACCGACGCACGGATGCGCCGCCCAACAGTGCGGGGGATCGAGCTCGGCAGCTCGAGCACGACGTACACGACCGCACCGATGGACACTGCGCCGACGACCGGCAGCGCCCACTTGCGCGCCGTCTCGTTGCCCAAGAAGTCGCTCAGGCGCACGATGCTTTCGATCACGCCGCGCACGCCGATCGCCTGCCCGCCGACCATCGTCAGCGCGCCGACGCCGACGCCAACTACGCTGAGCGCGCCCGGGGTCGCGTCGCCCTCGGCCGATTTCGAGTTGTCACCAAAGTGGACCCAGAACTGGTGGTTTACGTCGAAGAGGTCTAGCATCGTGGTCTCCTGCAGGTCCGGGCGCGCGGCAAGCCCGATGCCAAGCCCATGGGCGCCGCCCGCGACAACAATAGTGTTCGCACCGCGCGTCTTGAGCGCGCCGGAGCCTTTCCCGCGACGTACAGCGGAGAACATGGCCTCGGGCATGAACACACGGCGGCTGCGCTCCACGCCGATGGGGAGGTGCTCCTCGCCGAGGTTCCGGATCTGTGCGACGCCGTCCGAGGTGATCCCGCGGGCCTCGTCCTCGGCGTCCTTGACGGCGAGATCGAGCGATGCGAGCAGTGTACGGCGCACGTCGCGCGCGTAGTCCCAGACAGCGAAGAGTCCGGGGTACGACGGAAGGCGGAGGCCTGCGACGGGCTTGCCAGCGCCGACCTGCTCGAGGGCATCGGTGAGCACCTTGGTGGCCTTGGCGCTGGCCGCACCAACACCGTCTTCTTCGACGGTCTCGAGGCCCTCCTCGAGCTTGTCACGCCCGGCGCGCATCTTTTCGAGCACGGGCTTGACGGCGGAAAGCTCTGCACGGACCTGGGAGAGCTCAGCCTCGGCGACGAGCTTGTTGGCGGAGGCGAGGAGCTCGATGTCGCTGAGGAGGTTGAGGAGGAAGGTCTCGACGGGCTGCAGCTTGGACTTTGAGCGCTTAGTGAGGACGAACGAGCGCAGGGCCGCCTCCATCTCCTCGAAGCCGGCGGCCTCCGTGTCGCCTCCGGCAGAGGCAGAGTCGACAAAGTGGACGAGGTCGTCCGCGTCCTCCCAGGTGCGGGGGCTGAGGCCCTTGATCTGTTCGAGGACAACGCGGCGGCACTTGTCCTTGTTGCGGATCATGTCGTATTTGTTCACGACAATGAACAGGTACGCCTTTTCATTGCTGGCCGTCCACAAAAACTCCTTGGCCGACAGCGTAAAGTGATTTTCTGCCGACACGACAAACACGACGACGTCAATCTCTTCCTGGCGCGCGAAGAGGGCGGTCGTCTTGATGGAGTCACGATTGAGGCCGGGGGCGTCGATGAGGGAGATGTTGACGGTGCCGTTGGAGAGGAGCGAGTCCTGGTCCTTGCCGGCGAGATATACCTTGAGGAGATGCTCCGAGCCCTTGGACTCGTACTCGGCGACGATCTCCTCCAGGTCCTCGATGGCGCCGACGGTGTATGTGGACTCGTCAGCCGGGCTGTACGCGACGCCCTCCTTGACGATGTGGACGGCTTCGACGCCTCCGTTCTCGGTGGCGTCGTGGACCTCGCAAAAGGCGGTGGTACACGGTTGCTGGTCGACAGGCATGACCTGGCGGCGAAGTAACGCGTTGACGAGGGTTGACTTGCCCGCATTGAGGTCACCGGTGACGAGGACCTTGGAGGAGGTGTCCTGGACACGGAGACGGAGTTTGTCGATGTGCGCGACGGACGCGGCGAGACGCTCGTCGAGAAGGTGAGCAATCGAAGATTTTTCGAGCTGAGATACGAGGGATGAGGCCGAAGCAGCGGACGAGGTGCTGCCGAGCTTCAGGTCGAGGCGGAGGACGTGGAAATCGGAGGAAAGCGGCGGGATGCTGCTTGCGGGTTCCTCCTTGACGTCCGAGACCGAGGCTAGGGTGACGGAGCGGGTAAGACCGAGTCTGACCGGTGTCTGGCTCGTCGGGTCGTCCGCAAAGGACAGCGAGCGGCGGAGAGGGCCATCGGGGCTCGCCGGATCCTCTCGGAGCTGAGGATACCGGACAACCCAGTCGTCCTTGTTGAACACGCGCAGATCGCTCAGGATCGTTTTGGTGGAATCTATCGCATCTACGAGGCTACAAACGAGTGAGTGAGTCAGGTTTTGCGGGGTATAGACCGCTTGACGACGAACCGATGTTTATGTTGGTTGTATGCGTCTTGGATATCGTCTGCCTTGGCCACAGGCCGCGGCAATTGGGTTTGGGACATAAGATAGGAAGCAATCGCTGTAAGACAGCGCAGGAAAGATTTGTGCTCGCTGTGAGCGGAGAGAGAAAACTGTGAGAACAGATCTGATGACAAATATATATATTATATCCACTTAGGCGGGTCTCTGTATGTCTACCTTCACGAAGGGTAGTTGGACCTCCACCTAAGCAAGGCCCTGTGTAAAAGAGAGCGGCCATATAGACTTCCGCGCATTATCAACTCTCCGGCCAGGAGGTCATCCCGTGGATTTATACCAGAAAACAACCATTGCTTGGGTCGGAGAAATTTATTTTGGCTACTCTGAAAAATATTTGGCAGTAAAGTCGGAAGAATAACCGAAGTGTTCGCGTGATTACCGTCAATAAGAAATTCGGGCGGATTCGGAACGCGCCAGCAAACAAGACCTTTCTTCACCGTACCTAGACCTCATCTAGACA